TGCTAAGCTACAGGAAGAACCTAAATGATTAGCTGCGAGAAGTAATTAACCAAGCCATTTATAATCAGCACAACCATCGATCTGAAAGATTTGCATGTGCTAGATCTGGTCATTAATGATCAATTGACGCTGAAGTCCAATTGAATCTGCTGAAAAATATTTGTTATACCTGTATGGACCTGTCCATCCTGGCTCCATTTTCCCTCCTTTTCTGGAAATGTTTTTCATTTGGCGTTTGTACACAATATCACCCACTTTGATAACAAATGTCTTTACTCCTTTAGCTTTTCTTTTTTGGTACTGTTTCTTCTGTTTATCTTAAGCAATCTTGACATTCTTCTGAACATAAGGCATTTGAATACAATTAGGGACCGGTCAATATTTATGGCGGGGGGAGGGGTGGCACCGAAGAGAATAGGGTTGGGTAAACAAAATTTTGAGTGAGTAAAAGGTTGGGTAAATGAAAAACAAAACAACTCAAAGGTGGGGTAATAAAAATTTATTGTCAATTCCAAAGCACGACTCACTCAAATATTGAAGACTGAAAACTTCAAAGTCAACAGTCATATGTCAATACAATATGTGAATCAATCTATATCTTTATCATTTTCCGATTTGTTGGGACACAAATGGTGTCTCCAAAGAAAGTAAATGTGCAGACAACATGAAACTTTAGACTGCAGAAAAGTCAGTAAATTTCACAAGCCGAACGTTATCAAACTGTCAAACATTCACAAGCCGAACGTTATCAAACGTATCACAGAAGTGGTAAAGGACTAGTAAGAACGTCTGCGAGGGAGACTGTCATGTGTGACAACTGAATGACATCCTTTTGTAACGTTTTTGGCCAGGGGTGGGTACTTATTTTTTAAATGATACTTGAGGTTGGGTAATCAAATTTTTGATTTTTTAATGGTTGGGTAAGCAAAATTTTTGCCACGAAAAACATTTCTCTTCGGTGCCACCCCCCACCATAAATAATGACCGGTCCCTTAGATCATATTACAATGCTATTTTGCGCAATATAAATACATTAAGACTTTTATCATGTCTTAGTTGTAAGGGACCGGTCATTTATTAGAGGGGGGGGGCTGGTGGATTTTCATTTTCCTCTACATAATTTCATATGGCCCTGCTCCTGTCACTGCATTAAATAATGTGGCCCCCCAAGGGAGTGCACATGAAATGGCATGGCCCACCCTCAGTTACAATATTTATAAATTTTTTTCCGGAACAATAAATTTTGGCGACCTCCCCCCCCCCATCCTTTATCCCATTTATTTTTATAATAACCCAATATTGCACGACTGTGAAGAGAATATTGCTCAACTAGCCTGGTTTGCCCGACTTTTGCCCCACTTTTGTTGAACATTTGCCCGACTTTTCGACCGTTGTAATCTTTTGGGGGGGGGGGGGCAGCTGCCCCCCCTGCTGCCCCCCGTCCCGTACGCCTATGCTTGTAGTTGCCACAACATTGTTTTGTTTTCATATAAATATTAAAAATTTGACTGTGGTTGATCCCTTCAGTGCTGTTTCCTTTTGTAGAGTATATAGGAAAATGGAATGCACAAAAATGTATGACCCCCCAAAAATGGTTGCAGAATTTTATGCAACCCCCCATTTTCAAGTGCACAAAAAGGTATGACCCCCTCCCCATTTGCACCAGCCCACCCCCCTCTAATAAATGACCGGTCCCTAATTTACGCACGAATGAGAGCCATAGACTGAGTAAATGTCTCGATGAATATGCGAACATATAGCTACGTGTATAAATACTATTTTAAAACAATATCACTCAAATAATTTGAGCAAGACAGTCTGTCTGACTTCGCTTCGGCTTAAATTACAGTTAAATTAGTTAAACCAAGTACCCGTCAAGTAGCCGCTGTACAAGGCAGGCGCATGTCCCGCATTTCTGGCCATGATGAATTAATTCGAACAGTATAAGGTCCCTAGCCCTTAAGTCTAAATTTCTATTTATCTGTAAATATATCTTAATTCCTTAATTATGGGGAAAATTAATAATAAAGCCAAAGGGAGGGAATATGTGTCAATTTTCAGCCATTCTTAACTAAAAGTACAAAGAAAACCGCACCTCAATACGGAAAAGAAATATTCGTAAACATAGTTAATGAGGAGATGGTTTGGAAATCATTGGCATTACAATAAACCTTATTATCTATGTTTTTGTTCAAGTTTATGCAAAAATGTAGTCTTTCATCGTCACGTGCGTATTGTATTTGTGCCCAACCAGCCAATAGCAACGGTTTTGTTCAGCAATAGGTTATTTTGAGCATCCCTATTGGTTGACTTGGGAAAAATACAATACGCACGTGACGATGAAAGACCACATTTTTGCATAAACCTGAACAACATAGATAATGAGGTTTATTGTGATTTTATGGAAATGCTAATGAGTTTCCAAACCATCTCCTCTATTAACCATGGTTAAAACATATTCCCGATTTGAGCTGTCATGTGCGACCATAATTTTCGCGAGAGTTAATTGGACCGGCGACGCCAAGCAAGACCCTGCCGAGCTGTCAAAAGCAATATTAGGACGGCAAACTTTCACAATTGGCAAATAACAAATGTATAATCGCTTTGCTTATTGCCCATAGCTTGAAAGAAAGCGTGATATTTTTCTGTAATAGGGAACTGAGTTCTCGGTTAATGAAAAGTTTCTATAGTAACGCCAATATCGTCATAATTTGTCTACCATGGCCACCTACCATATTTTCCTGTCTCGTTTCTCCAATCGTCTCTTCCTGTAGCTCCTCCAGATACCCAGTTAACAATGTGTCCAGTAAACTCTGGGATGAGAGAGATTTTGTTGTAACAAACAGCGAACAAAGCTTTTCCATTCAAGCCATAACAAAGTCCAGTGCGTTTGTGACCATTACATTTTACTTTCGTGGCAAGTATATGGTTTGTACCAACTTTCCAACGATCAAAAAGACAGTGGTTGACGTTGTTGTCGAATGCATTGCCATCATCCTGAGCTTCATTAAAAATCAGCAGGCAGTTGCATATAATTGATATCAAAAGCGAAAGACGTACAGCCTGCATCATGGACGGTTGCTCCGAGTTGCAGTAAATTAATCTGAAAAAAACCCGCATTTTACTGCATAAATGACAAAATGTAAAATGTGCGTGTTTTTGTCGAAGAAAGAATGTCAATGGTATGAATGAGCTAGGTTTTATATTGTTTTTATATCTCCATTCTTGCAAAAATCAATCATCGAATAATTTTTTTAAATTTGATTTTCAGTTCTTATTATGGGCAAATTCAGTGATTATGGTTTATTTTTAACAAAAGTGATAATTGATTTCTGGAGAATTCTTACCTAAAAGTGGGGAGCAGGAGTGCATGCTTTATCAGATATAAAACACCGCGAGAGCGCAGTTCGAGCGCTTTATACTAATAAAGTCTAGTAAAGCATGCACGGACTGCGAATGTTTTAAATGGCTTAAAAAACGACTCATCTGATGAGTTAATTAGCGAAGTAATTTTAAAACTAAACTGACGTTGTCTATAATCCGAGAAAAACAAAGTTAAAATTTATGTAAATGAACATATTTTTATCACATGCACCGACACAGAAGTGAACATATTTCGTTTGTATTTTCCTCATACATGCATGCATTATATTTAATGTTTTTTAAAAAAATATAATATAATATGCAACCCTTATACCGTACATAGAACGTGTTATATCTGTATCAACTATACAGTTGCTATATATATATAGTCTTGAGATATTCGCGGTTGCTATACTGGCCAAAGTAAACAAAATATGAAAACAAAACTGCCGAAAAATGAAAACATCTTGAAAACATTAAGGTCTATATATATATATATATATATATATATATATATATATATATATATATATATATATATATATATATATATATATATATATATATATATATATATATATATATATATATATATATATATATATATATATATTTTTGTTTTATAGTTTGCATTGTTTATATATGCGTAAATTGTCGGCAGGTTCTGGCTTTACCATAGTAAGTAACTGTAAGTAGCTACAGTCATCTTGGGTGTTAGAGGAATGAAGTAGCCTTGTTATATTAAAGTACTTATAGTATATATCATCTGTAACTACAGTATATCACAAAAATATGCACGGTAATCCCTAATACTACTTAATTAATGAAAACATATTATCATGCATGTATAGCAGATTATGAACACGGGAAATAGAATAAATAGTAAGACAAATAAAATCTCTAAACAAGGAAGTGGAAGGCCGACCTCCAAAAATTCAAATAATTTCAACGCTTTATATTTCTGCCAATTTTACTTTATTTGTAAACTAAGATGGTTTAGTTTATCGAGTTAACTTTCCAAATATAACTCGGCCTCATTTTCTAATTATTAATTGGCCCAGTGCATACGGCAAACGTAGCCAAACTATGGATGTTAAAGGCCTAGAAAGTAGAAACCTGCTGTGTGTTTGATTGATATAGTTAACACTTCCTGCATTTGACGATCCGAGACGTACGGCTTCACAGAATCATTTGTGTCACCTGCACCTATGTTATTGGTAGAACCCCTAAACGTTAAAGTGAAATGAATGAATTAATGAATGAATGAATAAAATGTATTGTGCTATCGATAGAATAGTGAACACGTACTCAATCCTACTTCTAAATCTATAAACTGATTACAATTAAAACATCAATTTGAAAGAGGAGTCGTAAACTGATTAGTCTGACTCACCTGACTGTATTAACGTCAAAGTAAATTCTTTTATTTTCGAGTCTCTGTCTTCTTCCAAGGTCTAGCTCGCGCGATGAGAATTTGAACTGATTTGACGGCTTAACATCCTCATATACAGTATATATAGCTGATTTAATTAAAGCCCAAATATTTATGTATGCATGTTAGGCATTGGTTATGTTATGCTAATTCGGTAATGTAGCGAAACATTTATGTCGCTTTCTCGAGGGTGTCAGTTTATGTCGTGTGTTAAAAGTCGTGTGTCGCGGGTAAAATCGGAGGTTGTAACTGATGCACTAAAAACGCACATTTTCACGAAAATATTATTTTTATACTTACTGAAGTATCGCTTTTACAAAACTTTTATTTTCGAGTTATATATGCATGAAAGCGAAATAAAGAACAATTTAGTGTAACAAGTCTTCAGTAGTGCAATTAATTAAATGCTTGGTGTTTCTTGTTTAATAATTAAACGGTTTTCAGTGTTAAACAGGAAAGAAAACACCTACAACTTTACACATGTTTTCGTTTTGTAAACGTATTGTTTAAGGATACGTAGAACATTTGGTTATAAAACCCCATGCAGGTGCCGAGATCGCTTTCAACTCCTTAGTAAGATTGAAATACTGGCTGTCGACAAGTATTGAACCCGCATCTGGTAAACTGCATGTGAATGTAATGGAAAAGATTCAGCGGCGGGCTACAGGGTCTCTCTCCTCCGCAGAGGCTTTTAAAGAATATGAAATTCGAAAGAATTGAAATTGCGCTAGAAGGTATTTGGTATTCTTCATACCAGATACCTTCTAGCGCAATTTCAATTCCTTCGAATTTCATATTCTTTAAGGAGAGAGCTACAAGGTTAAAGGACAATGGCAACAAAAATTTTTATTGTCTATATTAAAAGTGTTGCTTCATCTAACTATAAATATGATATTAATACCGTGTCAAACATTTTTGTTCAGGAGTTATATGCATGTTATTTCACTGTTAATTTATATATCGTCGGCCATCTTGGCTCGTATTTGCGAAAAATTATCTTTTGGGTAATATGACCCGTATGACGTAGATGGCAGGGTAGAATCAAAACAACAATATATTTTTGTATAGCGTGTATCGAGATTTAATACGTTTTGTCAAAAAATTAATGCTTTTGAGTCATTTTAATGGAAAATATTCACGAGAATCAAGTAGGAGAAGTATTATCATACCAATATGAACCAGAAGTAGGAGAAAAACAAGCAATATTTTAATTTTGGGATAGGTATAAATATAGGACCTCTACATGCGTCTTGGACCTTTCGTTTGTGGTTTACTTATAATCATTTATTTAATGGATTTCTTTTATTTTCAACGGTGTATTGAATGTAGACCATGCCGTTAAATATTGTATATTAGGTGCACGCGTATAATGCGTGCCGCGTGCGCTGTTTTGTGTCTTTTTATGTCAATCCATTGTAGAAATAGTATACCGCAATTGAAGCTAGTTGTACTGTAAGTAACGTTATTACTTGGCAACGCTTCCCTTTTCAATTGTATTCTAAACGTTTCATTGCACTGTATTCGTTTTAAAAACTTTGGCGACTGTCCTTGTTCATACGCGTCTTCGGCAAAATGAAGTGAGCATATATTCTAGTCACATCGTGATTCGTGGCGACGATGGTTTAATGTTTTGCGCTTATACAGAATTCAATCCACGCTTTTCTCCTATATTGCTGATCTACCGATTTGCCCTTTGGAAAATTGAAGAAACAGATTTCATTTGTGTGTTGGCTGTCACTATATTATAACCGTAGACGGCAATACATATTTTGCAGTGCACCTTACGTTTTACATGAACAATCTAGATATTTTCGTTATTCAAGCCGTACTCAGAGCTGACTATATATAATATTTGCAATTTCGGTGATATATATATTCCCACACGTGAAATTAGGGTATTTTACATAACAATGAAAATATTGATAATATTGGGAACTATACACTACAGTACATGCATATATTTACCTATATAAAATGAGAACCAAGTAAAACTACATGTAAAAATACATCACAACATATAACCAGATTATAGTTATTTTACACTTATCTCTTGTCTGGGAAAATCCCATACTGACCTTGAATGTCAATTTACTAATTTGCGCAATGTCTAACTTGCGCGACACTACACATTACAGAAGAGGCAAATCTTGTTTGTGAGATAACAGCTATTTCACTAGCATAGCAATGTCGTTTGAAAGCCTGCTTAGTTTTAAAAACAATTAATAGTTGTGAAATCTGAAGCTAGAATTATCCATTGCAATATTGTTGCAGTTCCGCCAGTTAATTGGTTGAATTATTTTTGTTATAATAATAACAACACTTTGAAACACTAAATACTCAGTAGAATCTTTTATTCCAATGCAAATTATTTCTATATTTCTGCAACAGAGCATGCACATACATAAATGTATATGCTATACATATATATTATACATACATTTGGAATATATGATATATGTAATTGGAACAGCAGAACTACCATAACCGGAGTCAATGTCTAAGCGCATTTTACAACGCAAATATACGCTTACTGTCGAAAACACAATCACAGACCATTGGTAGTAAGCTGCTACACATCATTGAACTATGAATACACGTTGCAACGTATCTGTATTTTTTTTGTAAACATTTTCTTCCAAATCTCAACGTTCACAGTGTAACTTATACTGTGGGATTTGCGTTTACCCTGCCATCTACGTCACGAAATGTATTCATGCATAAATTAGCATACGCGGAATTTTCCCAAGATGGCGGACGACTGTTAAAATTTGTTAAACATTTTCGCAAATTATCTGAACAACTAAATGAAATTAAGTATTCCATTAGTAAGCTTAATAAATACCGGCAGACAATAAAAAAATTTGTTGCCATTGTCCTTTAAGTATGTGGTCCAGATCAACCTTACAAGGAATGGATTAAGAAGCTCAAGTGCATGCCCGTCTATCGAGTTGCGCAGAAAGCCATGCCTTTATTGTCGTGTACAACAGCTCTGTAAAATTATGTGTGGTCTGTGTGACATTGACAGATCCAAATATTTAGATATGGTAGGGAAATCTCGTACGAGATCCAATCATAACTACAACTAGTTAAGGCCGAAGCTTGCACGTACAAATTATTTTAATCGACATATATCGGTGGACTAGAACTCTTTACCTTTGGATGTTGTGGAAGCCACTTCATTAGCTACAGTACAGAAGTAGCGTGACAATTTTAAACTAGGGAGGAGGGGAGGGGGAGCTTTGTTCCCCCAGTTATATAGTTAAAAAGGCTCTGAATTAAACTCAGCATAACTTCGTCTTGTTGACACAAGGAAAACGCGCGCGGTGAAATTCACTACCTTATCATAGCAGTTCAGCCGTTTCCGGCGGTATAGTAGACGTTTTCCTTCCCCCCTATTTTCTCCTGTTATTTTGGAAAGTCTCGTAAAGTGCATTCGCTTTCCGTTTGACTGCCGCAGTGTTGGTAGCCTTCTCGGCAGCCCCCACCTCTGTGTTGGTAGCATGCTCGGCAGCCCCCCCCCCACCGTATTGGTAGCCTGCTCGGCAGCCCCCGCCACCATGGCCATGGGACTTCAGTGGCTCAGTCGTCAGACCAAGCGCCTTTCACCTCTGAGATCGTGGGTTACTATTCTCCGGCTACGGACTCGTGCGAAAAGAGTCCGTCAGTGCTCTGCCGAAAGTCGTGGGTTTTCTCCGCCTGCTCCGGTTTCCTCCCACAGGAAAGTCGACAGGGTAGGTAAGTGGGTTAGGACAAACAGTTAAGAAAGTAATATCACAACTGTCGCAAACACAAAAAAATATAGGGGTGAATAGGTTTTCGGATCGTCGGATTTCACAGAAAAAATTGTCCGGATTTCGGATCTGGCGAATGTTTTACACGGATTTCGGATCTTATTAATACAGCAGATTGCGGATTTATCTAATATTTTGGGTCGGATCGCGGATTTTGCTTCAAATTTGGGCGGATCGGCGGATTTGTATACCCCTATTCACCCAACCCTTGATGTAAAGCGCATTTGGTCATATCCACATGTAAATTCGTGCGAAAGAAATGCTAACGTAACTCAGGACCTTATAATAGGCATACATGAAGTACTTCCCTTAATTGTCCTAGACACATAATGTGTCACACATTAACTTATCTTTGATACATGGATTTTCCATACAGAACGGCATTGTTTGGTGTGTGATCCAACCTCGTCCCCAGGGCCTATTGAGGAAGGAGGCGAACCTTCGCCTCCTTCCTGAAAAGGCCCTGGGGACGAGGTTGTGTGTGATCTACCTTAATATATCGATGGGAAATGGCCACGATTACGGATAGCTCTGAGGCATCATCGAAACAAATTAAGCCCGAAGACTTTGTGCAGTTGATGAACATATTTGCTTCGGAATTTAACAGTGATAGCTTACATGATCGCGTCTTGATTTTTGAAGTCGTTGAGCAATCGGGGGAGGAATCCGAGCCAGAAAGTGAAACTTCCGAACAATCGAAAGATTCGCAAGATTCCAAAGGCAAAGCAGAGCCTGAAGCAGACACGTTTGAGATAGATACTAGCAACGGTATGGTATAGTGCATATTTAATGTTTATTCTTCCCCAAAGCGAACCATATTTTCGAATAATATATTTAGGATTTCCTCCACCGAACCACAGAGTAAATAGCATACAGATGTCTCACTTCATATTAATTTCAGCGTATTAAAGGGATTTTTCCAGTCTGTCATGTTCTTAGTAAGTGCCTTACAAGAGAGGCTGTCACCCCCTGGAAACATATTGGAATTTAATGTTTCAAGGGGGTGAATGGCTCTCTTTAGGGCACTTGCTAAGAACATGGCTGCTGGATATGTGCAGTAAAAACTACCTTACGTTTTTCTCACGAAGTGGGACCTCTGTATGATTAGTACTCTGTGACTGAACGGCGCTAGTGTTGCACCGACTGGAAAGTTTGGAAGTTGCGCGTCCGAGATTACAAAAATTTAATAGTAAATAGATTGGGAACATCAACACTGTGCACCCGAGATCTCGGCTGCGTGTTGCAAACTTTCCAGACTTGGTGTTGCAGATTCAAAACTGTTGTTTCCTAGGTAACGGTTGTCTTGTGACATTAGTGTTATAATTTTAGTAATTGTTATGCATAATTGTTAGTGTTACCTATGTAATAGTGATGAGTCGATGGCTCTAGTCGAGTCGGGTCAATGGCTCTAGTTGAGTCAAGTCAATAGCGAACTTGATTCGGGGAATTTTTTAAGTTTGTTTTTAATTTTAATGATAGTTATTGTTGTGAACTTGCTTTAAATTTAAAAAAAAAAAGAAATATTTCGTGTTCATAAATAAATTCCAATTTATACAAACTTACAAAGGCATAAATTCATCTATTTAGTAAAAATACTCGAAACATACATAAATGAGTTTATACATTTGTACTGTTCTCCCTTTTTGAAAATAACCGAACAGAGGTTATTCCATTCCAAAAAAACCGGAACCGAGATAAAATTTTTGGAACCGCACAGCTCTAAATTCTCCACTGACTTTATATTTGATATAACTGTATGCATATTACTTGCCTTGCATGTTTCTACCCTGACTGCTTTGATATAACTGTATGAAGATTATGACAGATATGTCTGACAGTGTATTGATATTAAAGTGACTTATTAAATTAGACATTGTCAGGCTCTCTGCATGCAGCTAAGAACATATGGCAACTGCATGAAACTGCATAACAGCTGTAATGGGTTTTGCATGAGTCAAACCACTGTGTACGCTATGTATACTTGGTGTATACTTGTATATGTTTACCCACCCCTTGGCTTGGTCAATTTTTATTCAACCCACCCATTTCCACCCATAAAATTTTGTTTACCCACCCATTTTCTCTTCGCCCCCCCCCCCCTGGCCATAAATAATGACCGGTCCCTTAATATTCCAGGCTAAGTTTCCTGGTTATTTTAACCTTATGGTCTGGTTAATTTAAACAGGACTTCCTGGTTAAACTGACCAGACATGGCAAGAAATGAGAAAGAGTGTACATATATTGACAGGCATGTTTACGTTGCAAACATCTTGACTGTAATATAACGTAACACTAGATTCGTTGTAGCTTGTACAGTATTGACGGAGCTATTGATGTTTTAAATTGAACAATTGCCTCACAATATTGCCGCAAATTTCCAAGGGCCTATATATATATATATATATATATATATATATATATATATATATATATATATATATATATATATATATATATGAAAATATCATAACTAATGTCCCGAAAACCTTTCGCGATATTTTTTCTTCCCATACGCCTACGTCTGTATGAACGCACGTATCCTAAAAGGTCCACAATAGATGTCCCAACCCCTTTAACCACCCATTGGCTCATAACCATCTTAGGGTTTGTACTGGTTGAACTATGATCATGTGTATGGGATATACTATACTACACAATGATACGAAGTTACATTTTCCACCAAACGTCACTGTTTCTTTAGAATCAGTGGCGTGCTCTGTGTCAACGACCTAGATATCTCCTCTTTTGTCACCTTTTCTTCTAATCATTCGTCTCGCACCCGTTCAAGCAAGGACAACTTGCTTCTAGTCATTCCATGCAAAACCTCTCTTAAGAATTTTTTTTAATCGAATTGTCTTTCTATGGAACCAGGGGCGTAGGAAGCATTAAAAGGTTGAGGGAGCACTTTTGGATAATGAAAATGGCACTTAAAAAGTGTTCCCGGAAATGTTGGCGACGGGGGGGGGGGGAGGAAGATAATTTCGCAATCATCATATTGCATGCTTAATATAATACATTTGCCCAAATTTCGAATTGCACCGTCAATCAACGTTTTGACCACATTTTTTAAAAAAAACATAGACCAAAAGTTAAATTTATTTGTTTCATGGACATTTATTTGTTGAAGGGCAGTTTTCTTAAGAATTTGCAGGTTAGTTTCTGAACAACATTTTTCACGAAGACAAAGAGCACTTTGCCACCGGAGAAAGGGCACTTTTTGTGTCTTCGAAAAACTTGGGGGGCCTAGGCCCCCTTTCACCACCCCCGTTTCCTACTCCCCTGTATGGAACGATCTCTCTCCAATCATTCGTAACTATTCATATGTTTCATCCTTTAAGCTCCAGCTCCATATTCACTACTCTTTTTCTGCTCTGTGTCAACGACCTAGATATCTCCTCTTTTGTCACCTTTCTAATCGTTCGTCTCGTACCCGTTCAAGCAAGGACAACTTGCGTCTAGTTAATCCGTGGAAAACCTCTCTTCTACGAATTTTAACCGGATTGTCTTTCTATGGAACAATCTCTCTCCATTCATTCGTAACAGTTCATATGTTTCATCCTTTAAGCTCCATATTCACTACTCTTCTCAATTAGACTCACCTTTCGATATTAACAGAGTGCGCACTGGGAAAACCTACTGCTCTAAATACCGTTCTTTCAATTTAAGCTAGCTGTTGCTCATAATCTAACATATTATTTTTTATATGATTATGTAAATAATGTTCTAGTCCTTGTCTTTAATGTATGTCTACTTGTTGTTTTGTATCAGGTTGGACTTCACATGGGACTCGATCATGTCCTGTTGACCATACCTTCAATCTTTGTTATATATTTTATAGCACTTTTGTATGAATCTAAAGCTAATAAATAAGTAAATAAACATCGGCGCAAGATTGTTTTACCGTTACGCGGTTTGCTGGCTGCATGCGGTTTAACATAATGCCTTTTATTACAGTACACGTCTCAAAAGACTTTAACTACATGCAGTTATACCACAATATAATCTTGAACTGTTTTTGCCTGTGTAGGCAGTGCCAATAATAACATGCAACCTTTCGTTGGTTGAGATGCAACTACCTGAAAAATATAAGGAGAATTTTGACGTTTCGCGCGAAGGCCTTCGCTCCAAACGTCGAAATTCTCCTTATATTTTTCAGGTAGTTGCATCCTTACCAACGAAAGCTTGTAGTTAAACCACAATCCTACCAATAAACGTTAATTCTTTTCTTTATAGTATATTTGCAGAACTCGTTCCATTAAAAACACGAATAGTCGCAACTTCATTCTTTAATAACCTCCGCAAGGAGGTTTTATTTTCATTTCTTTTGAATTTTATTCAGTCGTACACAACGTTTACATTTCCGTCTGTTTTCAAAAGGACGAAGGTTAGGCTATGTGTGCATAATGATTCCAGTAATTCTGCAAATTAAATAGTCCGTTGAAGCTGTGTCTGAGTTTTTTATGTTATTTATGCTTTACCTCATACAGGTGGTGAAATAGAATGTAATTCAAACCAGAAAGAGAAATCTTGCCAAGGCGAAACAAGTAAAGATAATGAATCCATAAGTGACGCTGGTATGGAACCTTCGGGTAAAATTGATGGCATTGTAAACGACGATGAAAAGAAATCAATTGTACTGGACTCCCCTGCAATACTTGGAGCGGAAGTTGCTGAACAAAAATTACAAAATAGAAGTGGAAACGAAACAGAAGTCAACAGGAGCAAAGATCATGACGTCGATGGTGAAAATAAAACTAAGTTGTTTGTTCATAGTTCCTGGCTTGCCGTTCACAGCTCTTACTTCAGAGCCTTGTTTTACTCTGGTATGAAGGAAACTCATTCAAATGAAGTGGTTATGAAAATTCAGCAGTCTGAATTACAAGCTCATTTAATTTTAATCGAAGCAATGTACAAGCTGGATGTATTGGATGATAAAGAGTGCAGCCTCGTAGTTGACGTTCTTGCGTTAGCTGACAAATACGATGTCAATCTAGTGTTTAAGAAGTGCAAATATGTTTTGATTTCAACATTTATTTGCTTGGAAGATTGTGATTATATTCTGAAAATTACCTCAGATATTCCAGAATGTGGCGATATTTATGATGCAATGGAGAAGTATTTGGTAAAAGAATTCAGCCCGCTTGACAAAACGTGGCTCTCAGCAGAGTTCCGTACACTGTCCAAAGAGTCATTGAAATTGATTTTGGGCAGTGATAAGTTAGTGGTACAGTCCGAAAACACGGTTTTTAATGCACTAATGGCGTGGATTGAACGGAATTTAGGAGCGATTGACGGCGAGCATTCTTTATTGTCATTGGTGCGATTTGAACTGATGTCTGTAGGTTTTATGTATGACATCGTACGGCATCATACAACCGCCAAAAGAATGAGTGGCTTCAACGAATTCCTTCAGAATGGTTTGGCTTATCATGCTTTCTCGCCGTCCAGATCGGATGAACTTGAGATCAAGCCAGTGAATCGATGCACTTATAGTAACAAAGATCAGACGTTCTCTTTGGTTCTTGATCAAGATAAACAAAGAGAGCTTATCGAACGCGGTATGATATGGTCAAGTGTTTTTTGGTGTAAGGGGTACATGTTGAGACTCAAGCTCCGGTATGCGGAAACAACTTACAAGAGTTATACTTTGTTTCTATTCGTGCAAAATTTGGAAAAGGGACATGTTAAAATCAGCTTTAGGGCAAGGTCAGAATTGTTTGCATCAATTGTTATGCAGTCTGCGATAACCACATACACGTGCTCATCAAAGGGTTTTGGCCAGAGAGCGATAAGCGACATTGCACCATCTATAGAGCCAAATACCATCACACACACGATAGACGTATGGGTTGATATTAAATAACTTTTAAATTGTATTTGTGTGAACAATATATTCTTATTATTTGGACAAGAAGTAAGCCCCACAGAGCTTGCACAATCGTATAAATTTCAGCTAACAGTGACGGTGCTGTACAATCGTAAATCAATTTGCACAATCGTAAAATTCAACTAACAGTAACAGGGCTGTACATATGATTTTTTACCTCCAGGGGAACATATATATATATATATATATATATATATATATATATATATATATATATATATATATATATATATATATATATATATATATATATATATATATATATATATATATATATATATATATATGAATAGGTTTTTGGAATCATGCCTGGTATATAAATGAATATAATTTTTTTATTTAAAAAATTAAAAAAGACTTCTACAGGCAATAAAAAATTTAAAAATTTTGTCCCAACGTTTCGCCGGTTAAGGCTTCTTCCTGAAGAAGCCTTAACCGGCGAAACGTTGGGACAAAATTTTTAAATTTTTTATTGCCTGTAGAAGTCTTTTTTAATTTTTTAAATAAAAAAATTATATTCATATATATATATATATATATATATATATATATATATATATATATATATATATATATATATATATATATATATATATATATATATATATATATATATATATATATATATATATATATTGATTATCAGAGAATACTGTATGTTATTTTATTAAATATTTTTAATGAAGCGGCTAATGAGTATGAACTATTCATATAGCCAAAAATTTTCCCATAAAAGTGTTATCTAAATTTTGTTGCCTGCATGCGTGCCAGTAAACCAAGCTCGGATAATACGAAGCTGTTACACTTGATTTCACATAACTTTTCCCTGAATGTTGCAAACTTCGTTGCGAAGTTCAAAAGTTTATAATCATATTCACAAACCGGTTTGTAAACAATGCATTTGATTGACTTATTTTTGTTCAGGGACCAATCAGAGGCTTTGTTTACAAAACCGGCTTGTGAATTTCAGTGTGAACTTTTGAACTTCACAACGAAGTTCGGAACGAACTGCTTCCAAAAGATGTC